TTCAAAATTTGCTACCAGCTTTCCAATTGCACAGAGCAGAATCTGGCTAGCACATCAAAGCGGCGTAAGTCAAGAAAGAATAATATGCGCATTGATTTGATAACAATCGACGTGCTTGGGGATTCATGTGAAATGCAAAGGTTCGGTAAATGTCAATTCATGAGAAATATATCGAGTATAAGGTATTGGGCTTAACGGATCATAGGTGTTTTAATTGATAAGGGTTGACAGAGAAAGTGGTTAACCAATAACAATTAAGGTCTTCTAAGTGGAAATCAAAGTTATCATGGCAAGTGAAGGAGAAATCGCCCTCAAAGTCAAGGCCATAAACCAACCACCATGTTTAAACTCACAAGTTTTCTTTGTTTGAAACAGGGACGAAGACTATGTCCAAATCAAAACTTGAAAGCTTGAATTTTTCAAATGCAATGCCCAAATCTTGTCAGCACAAAGGTTGTTTGAGAAGGTTTTTACTTGCTAGACATTCCCCTAGTTGAGATGACCATTACCTTCCAGGCATTTTCCCTAGTTGAGATGACCATTACCTCCTAGACATTTTCCTAGTTGAGAAGAACCGTACCTCCTAGGCATTCTCCCTAGTCAGAAGAGTTTTTCGCCTTCCTTAAGTTCAGGGGTCCCGCCTGGAGAATAGGGTCAGTTTTAGTTTTCTTAAGTTGTTAATCTCAAATTTCAGGGGTCCCGCCTGGAGAATAGGGTCAGTTTTAGTTTTCTCGATATTAATCTTTAGTTTTCCTTAAGTTCAGGGGTCCCGCCTGGAGAATAGGGTCATTTTTTAGTTTCCTCAAGTTATTAGTCTTTAGCTTTTCCTTAAGTTTAGGGGTTCCGCCTGGAAAATAGGGTCAGTTTTCAGTTTCCTTAAGTTGTTAATCTTTAGCTTTTCTTAAGTTCAGGGGTTCCGCTTATAGAATAGGGTCAAATTAGTTTTCTTAAATTGTTAATCTTTAGTTTTCCTTTAGTTCAGGGTCCTGCCTGGAGAATAGGGTCAATTTTTAGTTTAATCAAGCTCAGTTTATATTTTTCCTTAAGCTCAATCCCACATGAGACATCCTAGTCGAGTCTTTAATTTTACTCTCATCATTGCATCTTTCATCAATGCATAGTTCGTTTACAGTTTTTCTAACAACTCACAAATCCTCCTAGTGCAAACTGGGGCAGAAAATTTTGTTTGTTTTGTTGTTTATGATTGTAGGCACCCACCTGGAGAACGAGGGGCAATGTTTCAGAAATTGGTTTCAGGTTCAAATCAGAGAAGCACCAGGAGCCCGCCTGAGAAACGGGGTCAACTTTCAATTTCATACAAAATTAAGCGGGAGGATCCACGCCTGAAGAACAGGGTCAACTTTCAGTTTTCAAGTTCAAGTCAGAGGCATCAGGAGCCAACCTGAAGAACAGGGTCAACTTTCAGTTTTCAAGTTCAAGTCGGAGAGGCATCAGGAGCCCACCTAGAGAACAGGGTTAACTTTCAATTTCAAGTTAGAGAAGCATCAGGAGAATCCCGCCTGAAGAACAGGGTCAACTTTCGGTTTACAAGTTCAAGTCAGAGAGGCATTAGAAGCCCACCTGAAGAAGAAGGTCAGTGTTCAGGTTTCAATTTCAAGTTCAAGAGGCATTAGGAGAATCCCGCCTGAAGAACAGGGTTAACTTTTTGTTTACAATTTCAAGTCAGAGAGGCACAAGGAGCCCGCTTGAATAACAAGGTCAACATTCAATTTCCAAGTTCAAGAAGCATCAGGAGAATCCCGCCTGAAGAACAGCGTCAATTTTCAGTTTTAAGTTTAAGTTAGAAGCAGCAGGAACCCGCCTGAAGAATAGGGTCAACCTCCAGTCTTTAAGTCAAATCGGAAGTAGCACGAGCCACCTGAAGGACAAGGTTTGCAAGCTCAAGTCCTCCAAGTTCAAGTTTATTTCAAGTGCAAGCAGCAGGGTGCCCGCCTGAAGAACAGGGTCAACTTCTAGTTTTCTTCAAATTCAAGTCAGCAGGATGCCCACCTGAAGAATGGGGTGAATTTTCAGTTTCATGTTGAAGGAGCAAGTGGAGATTCAAGACAAGGAGTAGATAGGATTTTGTATTTTCTTTTATTTTTGTTGTGATTTTTCCTTTTATTTTTTATGTAATGGCAGGAACCGCGGACTGGAACCTCGATGTCACCTCAACCGGCTCTCCACCTCGTTATACTCCATCGCTCTTCTCACTTCTGAACTACACGCGACCTGATTCCTTTATAGCCAAGGATATGTAGGCAGCTCAGATACCAGGGCTCGGTCACATTCTCTTTTCTTTTAGTTTTTGTTCTCTCTAAATAAGGGTTGGATCAAAAAACCTGTCTCGTCGTTCTTTGTCTGAAAACTCTTCGTGTTTCTAGTCAAAGAGGGGCAGCTGTAGACATGTAATTTTTGACCCGCCACGTCTTCAAGCTATATTAGCGGTTTCGCATATTTTATATATTTATTTGAGTTATTTACATTTTTTCTAGGATTCTAATATATTATTTTTATGTTATTTTATTTGGTCTGTTTTAGTATTAAAAAAATCAAAATAAAAACACAAAAATAGTCTCAAGTCTATTTAATTTAAGATTAATTAGTATTTTATGTAGTAATACTATTTTCACTTATTTTTATCTATTTTTATTTAGTATGATCTTCTAAAAAAATACAAAAATAGTTTCATTAATATTTTTGTAGTCATACTACTTTACTAGGATTTTTATTTATTTATTTATTTATTCTCTACTTTTATTTTTATATAATCTTAAAAAAAATACCAAAAATAGTTTCACAATATAATATTATTTATTTTAATTAAATAGAATTATTTTTGTATTTTATGGTATAGATTTTATGTTATTTTTAGAAGGAAGATTAAGAATCTTGGGCTGGTATTGTGTTATTTCAATTTTGGATACTTCCCCAGCCCAAATCCGACAAACCTGAGCCCAATCCCTTAGCCCATAACCCAGCTGACCCATTTTAATTTTAAATCCTAGCTTTCCATCCCCACCAAATCTAATGGTCCATATTCCCCCATACCCCTATATAAACTCTATCTTCCACAAAAAATGACCTAACCCTAGAACCTCAAAACCCCAGAGAGAGCCGCCGCCACCGCCTTCCCCCCATCGTCTCTCTCAGCTTGGAAGGAAAACATCTGACGCCGCCACCACCTTCGGCAAGCTGGTCGGCGAGACATCAAAGATCTCACCGAATCCGCTCCAGATCTAGGCAGAAACTCGCCACTGTTGCCTCGCCTCATCACTCTCTAGATCTGGCCGGTTTTACCTTTGCCTGTGACCCTTACCTTTTTTGTTTTTTTATAAAACCAGGGTCATAAGATGGTTTATATCGCTAGCCGGATTTTGATATCGTGTTATTTCGTGGCTACACCTAGTTTAAGTGGTTTATTTTGATGTTTGTTTAAGGTTCCCGTCGAAACCCGTGGCCGACTGAATTTCTGGTCGACGATCTTTCATGGCTTCGTGTTTTCTGACACTGAAGTGCTGGTTTGAGGTTCTGCTTGTTGGTCTTTGCTCGTTTTTTCGGGTCTGTTTGAGAATACCCATCGTTCAACTTTTGGTACAATAGTATTGAACGCTATAATTTGCTCATCTGAGGTCACTCTTATCTTTTCCCTATCTATCTATTCTCCTTTAGTTTCATGTATGAAATTTCTTGATGATATTACTTTGTTGATTACTTCGTGAGTGCTATGTTTGGTTTTAGTCTATGTTATTGAGAACATTTTGCACAAACAAATATTTGATTCAGTTCCTTTTTTGGCTCATGATTTTACATTTTTGGTTATTGTATGTTGATTAAATAAAACAAACGGGCAGTGGAGGCTTGAACATAATTAAAGGCAATTGGGTTTCATATGATGTGTTTCATTCTTGCTTTGTTCTTACTAGTTTCATTAATGCTAGGAGCATGCTAGACCGTCAACACTCGGGTAGGCAAATCTTAGGCTTTCTTTAGTTCATTTTTAATTGAGGCGATAGGTCGTTTCTTTTAGTTTATTATCCGGGTAATCCAAAGGATTTGTAGATATTTTATTCCAGGGAATGCCCCGAAGAGCTTTGTAAATATTTGGAGGCCTTGACGAGCATTGAGGAGGCGCATATATATTTGTAGTATTATATTTTCATTTTATTTTATTTTATTTTCCTTTATTAGGTGGGGACGACCTCGAGCCTCTTGTGTTTATTTTTCTTTTCTGTGTTTATTTTTACCTTGATTTGAATATTTTAAAAGCCAACTAGATCGAGTACGCAACCATGACTTTCACGGTACTTGGAGAGTGCCTAGCACCTTGTCCCCGAGTCAAATGAACCCCCTTACCTGAATCTCTGGTGCAGACTTAGTTTTGGAGTCCAAAGTGTTTTAAAAGGAAAAATCATTTTTAAAAACGGTGATGTGGCACACCGAAACCAAATGCTAGGTGGCGACTCTGAAAAATCCTTTGAAATGCAATTTTTCGTCACTTTCAAAATTGAAAACCCTTTTGAGCTTTACAAATCACTTTGTATATTTTTAAAGGGGTTAGTGAAGGTGTAAAAAGAAAGGGAGTGTGACAGGGGTCGATGTTCAACTTGTGCGTGGCTTTCTTTGGTGATGCCCGACATATCTGTATGGCTAAAAGTGAACAAGTCTATGTTAGTTATTAAGAATTGATTAAACTTACTTAGGTCTTTCAGCTTATTGCCTATGCAGGCCTTTCTAGTAGGGTCTTTTGGATCTAGTTGAACGGGATCGAGGTCCTCTATGATCGAACTTGCAGCTTCGATTGTTTCTGGATTTTCAATGATGTCTATACTTCATCCTAAAGGGACCCCGATCCTACTGATTTATATACATATTTTCTTTCTTTTGTTGAGTAGTCGTATTATCCAGGGCGACCCGGATAGCATTCCCTGGATATGTGTTGTTCGCCTCGTATGCTGAATATTCCCTAAAGGGATAGGAACTTTATCACTTGATATAGGCTAGAAGGGATTTCCCTCATATGGTGTATCAATAACTGACCTACAATGGCATTGTACGTGGTGTCCTGGTCCATGATGTGGAACATAGTCTCCAGATTTCCCACTAGCCCAGACGGGGAGTGTGATCTCGCCCGAAGTTTGCTCAACTGCATTGTTAAAACCGGTTAGCGTGATGCAGTGCATCACTATCTTGTCCTCGAGTCGCATCTGTACGAGGACTCGAGGATGGATGATGCATGCTACTCTTCCGTCGTCAACCATAATCATCCTAACATCAGTATCAAGAATGCATAAAGTAATATCAAGTGCATCATTGTGAAGGAAAGTCAAATTTTCGGTATCCGATTCATCGAAGATGATACTTTCTTCGTGGCCATCATACCGTTCGTGCGTGATCGATCTTTTGAGTTTCTGAGTTGTGGTGAACTTGATGTCATTGATGGAGGTATCATCAGTACCTCCAATAATCATGTTGAAGGTACGAGGGAAAGACGGTGGCTTTGGCGGGTCTGGGCGTTCTCGCCTCTTTGCTAAGGTGTTCCTGCCTCTATCGCTGAGCAACTCTTTGAGGTGTCTTTGACGCAAAAAAGTCGCTACTTCTAACCTTAGAGCGTGGCAATCCTCTGGCTTGTGTCCTCGGTCTTGGTGGAACTCACAAAAGGTGTCTGACTTCCTTGTGTTCGGGTCGAACCTCATCTTTTATGGCCACTTCACCTTCGGTCCGAGCTTCTCAAGTGCATAGACCATCTCTGTAGGTGACACACAAAAATTATGAGCAAATAATAAAGGAGCCATACCTTGGTCATTTCTAGGGATGCCTGATCTCGGCCTAGAGGGGCCATCTTCACAGTGAAATTTGGGGACGGGTGGTCTGATATAAGGCTAATGCCGATCTCTGCCCGGTTACAACATTGGAGGGCCTCTTCTCGTATTATCCCTTCGTTCTCTCTTGGGTTCGGATTGCACTAAGATGAGTCATCGAGTTGTCTCATTGAGGTCTTCATCGTCTACTCTGACCTTGGCACAATAGGCATTGTGGATCTCGTCCCAGGTAGCTGGTGGGAACTTCATTAATCGACTCAATAGCTTTCTAGTCACCCTCAAACCTTCTCTGTTTAGCATGTTCTAGAAGGCTACTACGACCATTCCTTCGGAGACATTTGGTAAGGTCATCCTCACCCTGGTGAACCAGGCTAAGAAGTTCCTCGGTCTTTCTCTTGGGGATTGCTTAACGGCGAAGATATCGTTTATCCTTGTTTCATTCTTCTTGGCCTCGGCATGCGCCGTTATGAACATGTCTGCCATCTCCTTGAATGTTTCTATGGAGTAGGGCGACAACTGCGAATACCACGTCAATGCCCCTCCTCTGAGGGTTTCACTGAACCTTTTTAACAAAATTGAGTACACGTGTTCTTTGGTGAGGTATTGCCTTTCACTGCGGTGACGTAATGGGTCACATGGTCCTCGGAATCAATTGTCCTATCATAGATTCTGAGGTACGGGGTCATTTTTAAAGTTTTTGGTATGGCATGAGTAGTTGCTTTCTCCCAGTACGGTTGTTCCACAAACCTGTCGGGTGTACCTCTTTGGTATCAATTTTGGGGCACCTGGTATCTTGTCTACCCATTCTTGATGCTCTTTCATCTTTTCCTTGAGTGCCCTGTTCTTGTTCTCCATTTCTTCCATTCTTTTCAACACTGCGGCAAGGGCGATATCACATGCACTATCAATAGTTGTATGGATTACCTCAAGTCGTAGGATTCAATTGGTTGTCCCGCCCATTCTTATGCTGGGTTGTAGGGATCCTTGGGGTTTCCACGATCGTGCACGAAGCCTGCTTGCTCCTCAGGCTGACCAAAGTGTCAGTTAGCCAAGCCTCTAGGAGCTTTTTTATGGTAGGTGGTGCTCCTTCTTCCGCTGACGTGGAAGCTTCTTTTCCGTTGGGTTTGGTCATGCTAAAGAAGGGTGTTAGAAACTTCCCTAACTTGGAGGATGTCGTGGGGTCACTTTCTCATCTTGAGATTCGTACCCTTCATCGATGGCACTCATTAGATTGAGCGGTATATTGTCTGTTGCTCTTGTTCTTCTTCCTTGGTCGATCTTTCCCTTGTTACCTCCCATGGAATCCTTGATGCAAAGAGAAAAGGAACAACTTTACAGTATATTAAGTTAGCGAGTTATAACCATTCTAGATCTGAATGAAAACTGATGGTTTAACTAAGAAATCTCCACACACAGCGCCAAACTGTATGACCAAAAAATTAAATCTTGGTTTTTATACTATAAGATTTATAAAAAAAATAGGATTAATCATAGTCAATATCAATGTTCAATAGCGGATCTAGCACCTTTAGGCGAATATTTAACATGTAATTCTAGGTAAGACTATCTTGAATCAATGATGGAGCAATAATAATAATAAATGGCTTTTAGATAGTGGATGAGATAAAGATCACCCGACAAGGGTGAAATATTCATATATGCTTTCTGACAATGATGGATGATGATAAGCAATTGTATATTTCGATTCTTCTTGAATTAGGAGAGATGGGTGAAAGAAAGGAAGTGTAAAGTGAAGCTTTTTTTTTATTTAATAAAGTCAGAATCTTGCACAGAGAATGTTGTTGATATTCTTTTCAAAAGGTGTAATCCCCCCCTCCCCCGATCAACATATCTTTCTATTTATAGAAGCACACATGCTTCCAAACCCTAGATAGACAACAGAAAGGAATATTCATTAGAATATTCTCCAGGGAAACTAAATCCTAAATTGGTCGCCACATCGTACCGAAGGTGGATGCTCGTCTTCTGTTGAATCATTTCGACCTTCAACAACGACTTATTTTCCGACCTCGACCTTTTGAAGTTAGGTTGATACGTCAGTCTTCAGAGACACTATTGCGGTTGCCCGGGTCAAACACGTAAAATGAACTTTCGCCCATACTGTATAGATTCAATATTAATTTTTACACAAATAATCCCAAAAGTAGTGTATCACACATTTTAGAATAATTTAATCCCTAAAGCAGACTTAAGTGCATGATAGCACAAAAGACTAGATAGAATTGAAATATACACATAAAATGCTACACTAAGTACAGAAATATTTGAAAGAAATTGTGAAGAGAAATCATATTAGTCCACGATTCTGCAGTATTGAATAAGAGCTAAAAGTGACAGGACCAATAAGCATACCAGTGAATACCCAAATCATCATTCATGTACAAGAAGCTTATTCAAAAATTAAAACAAGAAAGGAAAAAATTGTAAGGAAAAGAAAAGAAGAAGAATAACGAGGGGGGGAAGAAGAGTGCTATTATTCCCTGCCAAAAAAGGGACATCGAGTGAAAGTTCTAGAATATATAGAAACCGTGTGGTAGCACGATCGAGATAACCACGGGGTCTCTGCTATTAGGAGATGGAGCGATAGACCTTTTTTAGAGAATTCAAATAAAGTTATGCAACACAAGCCATTTATTATTATGATAGATGTCAAGTAAAAGTACAGTAATACACGTAGCTGAGGCATTCTAACAAATCGATAAACGTGAAACTTATTCCGACGTGACTTGAACAATTCGAGCACTCGTGACAGATATCTAGGACACAGACTAGAATCAGGCCCATTAAGGCCCTGTATACGGTCAAATTGGGCTTGCCCTTTTTGTATGAATGAGACCGGGGTGTGGCAGGCCAAGGTTCGACCACATGTCATACCAAACCGTGACATGAAGTTAGATTGCCATGCGCGTTACTCAGAGACCAATCGAGATCAAGATCATCTAAGATCGAGACCGAGCGGGATAGAGATCGAGCAAGATTGAGGGAAGCCTGCCGAGCCAAATAATGGAAAGCCAAGAAATCCGTGATCAGGCGAGGATCACGGCGGAAATCTCGGCACGTATCAAGAAGATGCCGATTAATCAGCTAATCATGGGATTTCTTACTGTATTTAGGATTGTATTAAGGGTAGGACTCCTCTACTATATAAAGGGGGGTTGATCATTTATAAAGGACATCATATTCATGCAATATAAAGCAATAAGGGCTACTTTTACTTCGAGTTCGAGCAAGTCCTCACTCGACTACAAAGCCCAAGGACCTTAACCCGAGTTCGAGTAAATCCTCACTCGGGGACTATCTATCAAGCCCAAGGGCTACCTTATCTCGAGTTCGAGCAAGTCCTCACTCGGCCGTAAAGCCTACGGGCTACTTTTACTTCGAGTTCGAGCAAATCCTCACTTGACTGTTAAGCCTAAGGGCTACCCTAATTCAAGTTCGAACATTCACTCGAGGATTATTGATCTGAAACGGTCAAGGGAAATACTTATTATCGGTCCTTACCATCTCAAACCTTGGACCGTCAAATATAACTTCATAATTTTATGCTAAGGCGCTTTGACCCTTACATAAATTAACAAAAAGACGACAGATTCAAAAGCCGTGGAAGGGATAAGGTTTTATATATTCATCAAAACCTTTCTACAAGGGCGTGGCACGGCCCGATGGAAGTTCTTTACAAAGGGCCAAAGCGGCCTCGATAGAAATACAAAAACTATTTAAAAGCCTAAGTGGCCTGGTCATCTCCGGGAGTGGCATCTCCACCCTCGGGGTATTCTCCACTTTCGGGTTCTCTCAAGCTTTCAGATTCGTCATCATCACCGGTATAAGCTAATTTCCCAGCTTCAGCTTCAAGCTTCTTAGCGTTCTCGATCTCGGTTGAAAAATCAAAGCCCCAAGCATGGATTTCCTAAAGGGTCTCCCTCCGAGATAGACATTTGGCGTGCTCGACGATCCCCTCTGCTCGAATATAAGCGGCCTCGGAAACCTCCTTTGCTCGAACCTGAGCGGCTTTAGAATCACCCCGGTAAATAGCCACCACAGCATCAACATTAGCCTTGGTTGCCTTAACCTTCGATTTGGCCGCTTCAAGCTCCGTGACCAGGTTCTCCCGAACAGAATCTGTTGAACCCAACTGGGACTAGACCTTCTCGATTTTCTTGGCATGCGCCAAGGCTTTATTTTTCATACTTCGGAGTTGGATTTCAGGCGAGGCCAGCTGGGCCCGGGCAATCTCCTTTTCTGAGGCCAGGCGATCCATGTTCTTTTTCCATTCTTCGGCCTCAGTTTTCACTGTGTCTACTTCTTCACAGAGTTGCCCGATCAAATCAAGCTTTTGTTGGACCTACGGGTTCAAACCATTAGCCACCGCGCCCGAGACACTATCACTAACTTCAAAGATTCTTCTTACCTGCTCGGCCAGTTCGGCGTGTTCTTTCCGAGCCATTTCTAGCTCAGCACGGAGGCCTTTAGCTTCCCCTTCTCTTTGTCCTCATCTATTCTCAAGAAAGGTGCCTGGTGGCTCGACATTGAAGCTTTATTAGTCCTCCTCAATAGAGCCGGGGGCTATACAGGCGTATGAGGTAGTCGAGGGTGAAGAAAAACCCGTCAATTCTACTTAGGAAGAAACAAAGTAATATCGCTATCCTCTAGAAAGAGGGATGAATCTAACCGTGGGTCACCTCGTACTTCTTGCAGAAATCTATAATAATCGGATCCAAGGGACCCAACGTGAAGGGGTATGTGTAAACACTTATGAACCCCTCCATGTGGGTGGTGATTGATTCTTCTGGAGCGGGCACCACCACATGTTTTTTTACCCCAGTTGCAATCTTTTTTAACCTAGAAGAGGAGGT